GACATCAACGCACAAATAATAATGACATCACACAATTAATAATTACATCAACACAATTAACAATGACATCAACTCAAATTCCAGTAAGAGAGAATATTTAAGAAGATTAAAATAATGAAATGAGTGGTTCTTGGTACTCCATTTGTGTGTGTGTGTGTATGTGTGTGTGTGTGTGTGTGTATGTGTGTGTGTGTGTGTGTGTGTGTGTGTGTGTGTGTGTGTGTGTGTGTGTGTGTGTGTGTGTGTGTGTGTGTGTGTGTGTGTGTGTGTGTGTGTGTGTGTGTGTGTGTGAGATCCATAATTTCTACACCGGAAGTTGTTATTCACTGCAGGAAAACTCTCAGATTGGTATGATTTATATTTTACCTCTGAAGTGGCTAGTTTATTTGCACCCCATATCCATCCTGTGGAGGGTAGCGCAAGAGCGTGTGGATACACAAAAGGCCTATGAACTAGGCCCCAAAATGGTTAACAGGAGTACATCTGGATTTATATCTACAGTTCACTTATCTGTTACAAGTAAATTTAGGAAATTTTCCTTAATTTATCTGGTATCTTATTTCCACTTATAAGATATCTTGACATGTTACATAGGTTATTACAGTGTCTATCACTTTATTCCTCAGTGAGTGGACAATTAAGTGTTCAAGATTAGTAACCATTAGTGGCCACATTGCATTTAGTTTGATCATTATCTGTGTGTCCTTATCTACGTTCATGTTATCATAGTGGGTTATAGATCTACTCAGGCTTCTAATTGCATTGCAGCGCTGTATAGCCCTTGTGGCTTAGCGCTTCTTTTTGATTATAATAATAATAATTATAATTGCATTCCTGTAACATTCAGTTTTATTATTTACTTCTCTCCTAATATTATTCATATTGCTAGACACAGATACACCAAAGTTATATTCTACATTCTCCTTCAGGCTACGTGTTTCTTGGCTAACGTGTCAACATTATCATGAAAGAGTAATCTAATGTGTGACGGAATCCAAAACAATTGTACATTAATTCCTTTTTATCCGGTTTTTTGAGTATCTGTACCTGGCTTCTCTAGTGAGCATGTTGTTAATCATTATGTGAGTCACTAGCCTTCAGTCATCACATAGAATCAGTAATAATTATAGAGTCAACCTCTGTGTCATTAATTAGCTTTAACGCCATTAGGATGGCAAACGATTTAATTTGCAGTGTAGATGCCCAGTTGTTAGTTCTTATGCCTAACTCAATAAAGTTCGTATGTATAACGTACGTTTTACATACATAAAAGGAGTGACATATATATCAGTAATACTATCATGTGTAGTTTAGTCTTCCACTCCATGTATACTGAGAAAATTAGAGGCCTCACTCTGCCTAGTGACATTGTTAGCGACAGCTGCTCTCTGTATTAAACCGTACGTTTAATATCTCCTTATCATGAAGCTCCTGTCAACATGTGTAATCCCAATTATCACCTTCGCAATAATAGTAAACAGATGAGTGGATCTATCAGCAGCAGGTAAATGATAAGGGGAACACTGCGGCCCTCTAATACAAATCAGGAGAAAACAGGTTACCTGTAACTTAATGGTACAGCGCTATGCTTATAACCTTACGTGCCTGGGTTAAATTCCGGGCCAATACGAGGTGTATGGGCAAGTATCTTTATATCTGCTGCCCCTGTTCTCATTCTGGGAAGTGGTAATATTCCTTAGATAAGGCTGGGGTTGAATAACACCTCATGGTGTGTAAATTCAACTACGTAAGAACAACTAGAGTGATTACAGACACAAAATCAGCGAGTGATAGAGTGGACATAACCAGCCCGAGAGATGCAACAATATGCAAAACAGTGCTCTCGTGAAATGTCAACTGATGTGCACTTGATATTGTTTTGTAAGAGTTACTGTAGTGTGGAACAAACTGCGAAGTAATGTTAAAGAAGTGACTACCATGAGTGGCAGTAATATTTGGCCAGACCTAAATGAGTGAAAATTGTTGAGAGTGGCACCTACCTATTATGAGCCAGTAGGCCTACCGCAGAATGGGTGGGTGTGAGTATGGCTTACCTAGGATGAGTTAGCGTGTATTATTTCCCTACCATGAGCCGGCAGTATTACATAGTTGAATAAGACACTGGTGCAACAATCTCTTATTCATCAGCCTTCTTCAGTCGATGTGTGCTTAACGTTATAGAACTGAACAACTTCTGTCAAGGCTGATGAACTGAACACCCCAATCTCCTCTTTAATCGTCTCCAGTATATTAGTCACCCTCTGTTTTTTACTGAAGAAGCCTGCTGAGCAGACGAAACGTTTCGGAAATAATGATACCAAAGTACTGGACATGTCTTATTCATTTACGAAAAAAAATGTAGGTTGTGAAGGCAGCTGCGGCTCTCAATAAGAATATTAAATATATGAACACTTTAAAAGATATGTTCCTCGTCTGTGAAAGATGATGCTCTTACCACAGGCTTTGCAGCTCCATTTAAGAAAATTATCCACTTGAAGGGAGGCGAATCTAAAGATTGCATCAGTATATCAGGCCATTGTTCAACGGAGTCGTCTTCTTACCAAGTAAAGGTATCCAAGTGTTGCACATGTATCTAATTCCTGATGTCGGTATTGCATACCATTATTGTAATGAAACTCATAGCACTACTTCATATACGTAGGTCTGCCCAGTTAGATGGCCCAAAGTTCCTGATTGATTCGCTAAACAGCCAAGGATTATGTTCCTCTTACTCAGAAGTGAAGAAGTTGAAATCCAGTGCATCGAGATCGCAAGATCATCGGAGAACACACAGACCTCTTGATATTGCTTGGCTTTCATGCTAAGTTCAGCGACTTCGATCCGTTCATTAGATCAGATAAAAAAAAATATATCGAAGAAGGCTTAGAAAATCTGGAACATTCGTTCGCTGAAGAATGCCTAGGGTTCAGAGACACGCAGTCTGTGACTGTGACACGTCACGCCAATTTAACATTAGGAGAAAGGTTGCTTTAATGAAACTGAAGAGCAATATCCATTTCAAGGAGGCAGAAGAATTCTGCTTTGTATAGCAGCCATATATGAGATCACTGAGAGGAGGTAAGAGGCGCTAGTCTGCCAGCTGTACAATGGTACCCCAGGTGAAGCATTGGATGCATTGCGATACAGGCGATTTCGCTAGAGAGTATGTGTATGTACCTCTTCCGTGCAGGTTCACATTCTGCAACTGACAGCTTCAGCGGTATATCACAGTGAGCGTATTTATTTCCAAGTTCAGGAGTGGATGGGCATGCTCCTGGATCCAGGAAATCCTGGATGGTTATTAGCAAGTGGTCGACTTAAACTACGGACCTTCAGAAGATCTACTGAAGATGACCAGATGCAGTCACAAGACAGACTATAATACTAAAAGATGTACCTGCAAAAAATGGTCTGCAGTGCTGAATAGCAAAACCCCTTTATGAACCTGCCTGTGACGTCACTGTCACCCACACACACACACAGCACATTTAATATAAACCTTTGTTGAATGAGACACTTGAGTAACATTTGGATATCTTTATTGTGGAGACATTTCGCCAGGCAGTGGCTTCATCAATCCAATACAGAGAAGAACGATGGAAGATGAGAAGGAATTTTAGGTAATCAGTCCTTCACCCTGTAGATAATGTGTTCATTCCGTCAGCAGTGATAAAAGTACAACATATGCGCTGAGAAGTGGCTTATTAAAACCACTGACTTATATGAAGCCACTGACTGCCGAAACGTTTCCACATTAAAGATACCCAAATGTCTCATTCATTAAATTGTTGGTTTTCTTAACATTTATATAATATTTATATACCTGTCAGACACACCAACATCTTGGGATCTTGGTTAACCTCTAGGCATAACCTACTTCCACTAGCGGATTTTGTCCACCAGTGACTCCGCCTCCAACTGCTTCACTTCACCTGTCTGCACTGTATAAGCCCCTTCTCCGTGCATATGCCATTCATGGTGAGCACTATACCCATGTATAGTGCTCACCATGGGAGAGCGGTAACCTATAGAAGCAATACAGCTCCTGGAGAAATGGGAGGAATTCAAATTCAATTAAACGAAGGGAAGACAGGTCCAGTCACTTACAGTAAGATCCCTTCACCAGCATCAAGGAGCCTCTCTTGCGGAGCTTCATTAACGTCGATGTAACATATGTACAGTAAATTAAGCTAAGCTGATTCAGGATTGAATTTTGAAAAAAAAAATATCAATATCACAGCTACTCTCCTTAAAGTTCCCCGAAGTCCCTACAGGCACCTCAGTAAAAATAAAATCTACGACGTAAATGAAAAGGCCGAAGTCATGGCTAAACAGTCAAAATGTGTTCTAAAGTCAGCAACACGCCACAAGTTACACATTTGCAAGCAGGTGGCTATAGAAGAGATGTCTGTCCGTTTCTCAGCTCTGTAGAGAATCGTCTAAAAGCAGCGATTTCTGGTAAAGGAGGAACGTATACCCATATACTGTTAAGCCCTGTATAACTTACTGCACGTCTCTAGGACCCACCAGACACGGCGCTTCCCAAAGCATCTATATGTGACACACGGTAATTAACTAAAATTAATTAGTATGGGAGTGGGATTTAAAGTGTTGAGAAGAGTGGTAGTGAGGGTAGCAATACTAATGGGAGCGAGGGTGTAAGGTACATAGTATGATAATTGGGGTATGGCATAGTGTGGGAGTGAGAGAAGGAGTGATCATGGAAGGAGTGAGGTGTAGGAAGGGAGCCGGGGTGGGTGGTAGCCATTCCCAGTGTGTGGAGGTCACCCCTCCTACACTCCTCCACCATTCTCAGTTTCTCACCTACTAACACTTCAATTAAATCAGAAAACAAACCATGTCCACCTCCCGTCCCTGCATCTTCCAATTCGTATAATTAACCAATATATAATGTAAAGTTTGGGCTACGTTTAAGTGGATGTTATAATGTACGAAGGAGAGGTGAGGGGGGAGGGGGGCACCGTGTGGGTTGTGGTCAGGAGAAAAGGTAGGAGCGGCGGACGATGGCGCTCAGTTGTCAGTTGAGTGTCGTGAGCGACGCACGCTTCTATCTGCACCTCCTCCACACAAATTCTACTCAACATGAGAGAAATCGTACACGTGCAGACCGGCCAGTGCGGCAACCAGATCGGCACCAAGGTACGTGTATGTGTGTGTGAGTCCCTCTCTTATAACCTGCTGCCGGTCCCACATGAACAACTGCATAATAATGTACTTTGACACACCCAGTAGGTATATCACGCACCAGTTCGCCTGCTGACTAATATCAGTGTCATCTACAAGCTACGAATCTCCATCATGCAATATATTATTTAAAAAATAAAACAGGTTTAGAGCGATATCAGTTCCTTTCAGTGTGTGTGTGTGTGTGTGTGTGTGTGTGTGTGTGTGTGTGTGTGTGTGTGTGTGTGTGTGTGTGTGTGTGTGTGTGTGTGTGTGTGTGTGTTTGGTTACTGGAAATGTCGCGGAATGAATAATTCCTGGCGCGGTGGGGATGAACCGGGTGTTGGTCCAGGAGCAGGATCTCGACTCAGCCAACTTCTCAAAGGAGGTTCTTTATTGCCAGTGTGAAACTTTTGATCCAAGGACTTATACATGACCTCCCTGTCATTGGATCAAGGCGGATTACTTCCCATTCCTCCAGGCGCTGTAAGACTACTGCGGGTTTAGTGCTCCCCCTTGAATAATAATAATCGACCAACAAACTGAGAGCAAGGCAATTGCACAAGGGAGAAATGATCACGACATGCAAGATCGTGTTGTCGAGGAGATAATATTGAAAATCTGGGACATAACAAGGGCATTAAGTGAAGATAAACACGAAGTGAACAAACCAGCTTAAAAAAATATAGATTTTAGTGTTAAGATGGTAAAGAAACAAATAGGAAACTTGGCAGAATCTAATTACGGGATTCAGAACTAAGTGCGGTAGAACTCATAATTGAAAAAAAATTAAGAGGCTGGGTCCACCAGGGATGGAGGTGCTTTGATGCCGGTTCCTCAAGGAATAAGGGCAACCCTACCCTGCCTTGAATCAATCCTCACTACCTAACATTTTCCAGCAGCTGTATCACCCGCCCTAAATATAATTTTAACGCTTACCCATAGCTGTAATAAAGAGTCAGGACCAGGAGCTGTGTCTCAACATATTGGAAAAATATATAAATCACTAAAGATTGGTTTGGTTTAGTAAGGTTTGCCAGGAAACAACAAATGTTTCTTAACTCGGGTCTGTCATATGATGCTGGAGCTTTTGGTCATCTGGCCCCACCACCCGACCCCCACCGTCCCCTCAAAGGAGGTTCCTTGACGCTGGTGAGGGGCTCTTGTTCAAGGGAATTGGATCTGTGCTTTAGTTCCCTGAACTGAGTGAATATCTTCCATCTCCCTCCCCAGGTGCTGGATAATCCCTACGAGTTTAGCGCTTCCCCATGATTATAATATAATGGTCATCTGACTGATGATGTCCGCTTCGTACCGGTCCACCTCTTCAAAAATCATGGTTATGATTATAACCATTAAGTAGTAATCAGTGCATATAATTTTATAAGTGAAATGTATACATAAAGGTATACAGAATTAACGTATGGTAGCCTATGCTAGGATAACCTAATAAAATCGTACTTTGTGACTTATTCCCAGTGGGACCCCTGAAATTATTATGAAGAATTTCAAGGTAAATGAAAAGTGTAATTAAAATGGGCTGGAAGATGAGGTTGTGTGCAACAAGTGTTTTAAATATTGATTAGCTGTGACTCAGCCGAAAGGACCGGCTTCTATCCTGGGAGGAAAGAGATGGGAACAAGGCTCCTTACACTTGTTTCCTTTCAGAAAGAGCACCTTGGTGACGGTGGAGGGCTCAGTATGCAAGAAATTGGCGCTGTCTTTCTCTTCCTTGGATCAAACATGATTGCCTAGGATACCTCAGGAACTATGGCCATATCCTATGGACTTATTGAGGCATGCAGTCTCGGCGAGACACCTTAGCCTGGCTGATCAGGAACAGTGTGCAACGGTTTATCAGACTCGTTCATGGGAGGGTGTTGGAGGCCTTGGACCCTTGATGCTCATTAATTTATCACTCGGCTTATGCAATGTGTCTTGGTGATTTTTCTCCTTGTGTCTTCTATGTTCACCCTTCAAGTCGGAACCTAAATGCTGCTGCTGAAGGGCTCGTCATGAAAGAAATTGAAGATACTCTTCCCTTGAATCAAACTTGATTTCCTCCCGTTCTCCAGGCGGTGTGTGCCACGGGTTTATGTATCCGTGAATAAAATAATAATCCTCCTTTCCAAATATGGTCTAGTAGAATGGATATGCAGTACATTAAACATGGCAGATTATAACAGCAGGTCGATATTCACTAAGAAATTTTGTTTTTTCATTACATTCCATGTCCTCCCTGCCTTACCTTCCAGGTAAACTCCAGTTAATGCCGTAGTCTCAACTCAACGCATCCTTCATTGTTAGCGTTCAGGAGAAAACGCTGGCTATAATATGGAACCACTTAAATTAACCTGCACTGCCAGAAACATGCCACATTGTTTTGTTATTATCATAAATATAGATTAATATTTGCCAACTCAACCTAACAAATTTACAGATATTTCAGAGGTTATTTGAAGCCTACAAAACCACATGAACGATTGTTATTTATTACGTTTATATAAAATTTAATAATTTAAAATGAGTTCTATGGTAAAGCGCTGAATAACCAAACAATTCTTGTGTTGTGCAAATAAAACAAATAATAACACATTTAAAACGAGAAGTTCATCAAGAGGCTAGACAGTGCACAAATTCAGTCAGGCTCGTTCCACCGGACCTCGCCACACCCCTACCATGATCCCTTACCACAACCCCCTCCTCTACTCGCCCTCAACCCCCCTTCCACTCGCCCTCATCCCCCTCCTCTACTCCTCCCCTCCACCCCCTTCTCCGCTCATCCTCGACCCGCTCACTTGAGTTAGTCATATTCTCGTTTTTTTCATCACTTTTATGCCTTCATCTTCATTTTTGTCTCCCTGCCCTCCCTTCATCCCCTCCTCGTGCTTCTGCTCACGCTCCTTTTCGTGCTCCTGCCCAATCTCTGTTCTACCTACCTACTTGATATCTGGTTCCACCTACCTACCTTTTCCTATTCAATTACCCTGTGCTGCTCCTCCTCCTCAACCATATCCCCTACTACCACCTCGTGCTCAACCTTCTCTTCGTGCTCAACATCCCCATGTTCTACTTCTTCCTCGTGTTCTACATCCTCGTCCTCAGTTTCCCCCTTGTCATTCTGCCCTTCTTTCTTAACCTCCTCGTAATGTGGGAAGGAAAGGGAGGGGTGGTGAGTGAGAGCTATAGGAAATATGTGAGAGAAAGGATGGAGGAAGGAGAGAAGGAGGAATGGGCGAAAGATGAGAAATTCCTGAGATTGTAACCTGGAACCTGATCACACTACCTGTTTATCAACATTACACCTGTCTGGCTCCAATCGTCACTCGGATATTCTATTTACGTCTTCGTTTTGTTCAACACACTAATGAATTCACGGGGTAACCCAGGTATACATATGTTGTCACTGCCTCTTAATAGCGTGGGCGTGATGTAGAATACGTCTCAACATGTTTTTGTACCTCTTCCTGGGTGTAAGCATATCTCTAGGGACGAGATCCTTGGCACCAACAACCTGACCGATCAGGCCAGCAATCAGGAGGCCTGGTCTGGGACCGAGCCGCGGAGGCGGTGGCCTCCTGATGTGACTACAGGTGCGAGAATTCTAACTTGAGCCCAGCATCATGCGAACCCATTGAGTAGCCAAATGTTCATTACGGGATTTTGCATTCCATCCCACCTTTCCCTGCTTCATGACAAATCCTTTACTCATTGTCTCCCTGCCTCACCAAAATCATTTGTAATTCTAAACAAGGATTTAAATTTTTGTTTAGCGATAACCGATTCCTTGTTCCTCGCTTCAACCGTTCCTCCCCGTTTTCTTATTAATCTGAAAATAACGAGGTCATGATGCATTTCTTAGGGCAGGATGTTGCACGTTTTGTCAATTTGCGAATATCTGAGCATCTGGACAGACGTGATGGTATCAAGACTTCTTTCTCAGCAGATTACCTCGATCTAATAAAAGTTAAAGCATTCTCATATCTGTCTTTTCTATGCATTATCATATTCTTTTACCTACTCGCCTTCTTTCATCTGTGCATGAAACCTATTTTTCATCAGCAGAAGCATGTGCTTCAATTGTGCTGCTTGTCACCGTATTCCAGTCTCACGTACTACATCTGTTGCCAAATTACTGATTTCATATATCCTTTGGGAATTTGAATTTGCCAGACTAAAGTCCATTATTGCATTTTTTTTTTTTATTTTCAACACTGTCATATCCTTTATTTTTTTTTTTTCAATGTGTGTGCACTTCAGTTGTTTCTCTGTTCTTAAGTATATAGGTTTCTTCCACTAAGGCATGTGAATGGTGGGAAGTATGTTGTAGTTAATCTAGACAAAAGTAAAGCCTTTGAAATGGTCCCACAAAAGACAAAAATAAACAGTAACACGGTATTTAAGGAGAGGTCTCCTATGTCGAAGCATGGCTGACCTATTTCAACAATGTGTCTATACATGACAAGGAATCTACATGGGGACTTGTCAAAAACATCATTTCGAAAGGCACAGTGTCTACAACCTATTCATTTAACTACAAATGATTAATGCCATACACAATTATGAACTGTAAATAGCCACCATAACCTTGTAAAACTACACTTGATCATTTGTAGGGAAGATTCTTAACCAAGGGTTACCAACTTGCGGTCCACATGCAGCACCTAGGAAGGTTTAATGCGGCCCTCTAAACCTATTAGGAAAAAATAATATTATTGCATAATTATTAAATCATTGAATATGTCAAGACAATATTTTCGAGGGGAAAATAAATCCAACACTGAATTAAATCTAAGCTGCTCATGTGACTGAGCGCTGAGGTAAGGTCCTCAAACGATATTTTTGCCCTTCTTCGTGTAACTGATATTTTTTTGTACTGAGAAAAGAAGACGTCAAGAATCATTTTCTGACACTGAATGGATTTAAGATTTTGCTTTGTTGATTGATGTAACATAACAGTAATTTGGTTCTAAGGT